TAAAGCATTAGACCTGGTAACCTCGAGCATATTGAGCTAATATAGCTGTGCCTAGTAACTTGAGCGGAACTTGTTTTACTTCAAAAAATATTTCTACATGATTGCTACCATTAATTCCGCTGGAACGAGAAGTGGCAAACTGACCACTTTCAAAACTGAAGTTCGACGCGATGCCAGCAAGGTGGGACATTCCGGAGCAAGGGTTAAGAAATCTCTTTTCGCGTAAAGTCTTTGGCCAACCCGTCCCCCCCCCCTCTGGCGCTCTTTCGCACTAAACCTAGACCTCAATGCTCGTCCCGGGCGTCCATGGTCGCGGTTTCAAATGTACTGGAACCCTCTTCACTGAAAAAGTTCTCTTTACTAAAATCAGGGCGCGTCGTAGGTGTGGGATCCCCAGAGGAAATCGTTTTTGGACGCTGGAGCGAGGAGGTCGTACTAGGTAGCTGGAGCAAAGGGGATCGTATTTGCATCCTTAAGGAGAAAATTTTCACCTGTTGACTATTGCCGGTTTACGTTCTCGCTACACCCCACTCGTTTTTTGGGGAAAAAAACCGGAGGATTTTCGGAACATTGGTTTGAGTTGGGAGAAGTTGAAGGGATGGTTAGAGTGGGTCGTGCTAGAAGAGAAAAGTCTGAGGGAGTCGCATTTGACACCGACACAACCTCCCCTGATATAAACAGCGTCCACAGCGCATATGCATGTGCTGTGGCAGTCGAAATTAGAAAATCAGAGACAATCTGCTGAAAAACAAGTCACAAAAGCCGACTGTCACTCCATGAGCACATGGAAAATTTCACTGCGTGAGCAGTTGCGGTTACGATAAGAAGAGTTCAGAAAATTGTATTAGGAAAATACTCGCCAACAACCTTAGAGGGGGGCAATTTAAAGACTCCCTATGCAAACCTCGAATTACCATAGAAGGATTCCGAAAAAAACTGTAGCGAACCAGGAAGAGAGCTATTTCATGGGGAAGGGTACTCCGGGCTGGATGAACTGCTGCTAAGGTCACAGTGGCCTATAGAACGCCATGCAGACGAGATAGTGAAGAGAAAAACCGAAAATTAACGCGATTAAGGAGATTAAGGGCACCTAAGCCTTGGAGGGGGCTACATCTGCCAGCGTTTGGTCAGCAATTCTGTAAACTATATACATAGGCATATCGGACATGTATCCTGTAAGCTTTGTTATCACCTGTTGAACACCCTGGTAACTTTTGTCAAACTTGTCAAAATGGGTCCACCTTCAGAAATCCATATATTAGTATATCTTACACTACAGTAGCACGGGCCTTTTGCAGGAAATTGAAGAGGTTGTGCGTTCCGGTATTCCAACATTTGTACCGCGTGAAACAAACAAAACTAGAAGTTTCAAAGCGCATTACGGTGTTGGCCCCTCCCCCTCCCGCAGTGCCAAGCGCCGGAAATGTTTAGTTTTCACAAATCTACCAAGGCAAAGCCCGCGAATCATTCGCCATCACGAGATAGCTGGACTGCGCAAGTTCGCGTATAGCCGCGACAAGCGGTTCTGAGGCAATTTGCGATAGTGGAAGAGAACAAAGAGAAAAAAAAAATGCACCGCGTTAAGATATACACTTACAGTCCGATCCCAGATTGACGGGTGCCCAATTACTCCATTTTCAACACCTACGTCCTCACCCGCGCAGCTGATTCGCCGATAAGAACTCTACGACCGTACAAGTGACGATATTCATGCTTTTTCGTCCTGCAGCTTCGTTTTCCACTGAAAGGCCTGCCTTGAGGGCGGATTATGGGGAGACACCGTACTGGAAAAAAGGTGTCAGTGAACCTATATTGCCTTATAGCGCCCTTCTCTTACAATTTTTTGCCGTGAAACAGGTACGAGGTTGTTCGTCGTGGACAACACTACCCTCCCTATGCCATATTTTCAACTCCTATACTTGATCGCGGACAGTACCTTTAATTGACTGCCATTATTCGACTTGGTTATTCAACTATTGAAAAGATTTGAAGAGTCAACCGCCTGAGCGTGAATTTCGGGCCAGGCTTGCAAACTGTAATATTTGTATTCCACTGCATCCATTTAAACCAGCCGAGTTCGTTGCTAGTTTAATTCAAAGCTTATTTTCCACTGCCAAGTTGGCTTGTGGAGTTGGAAGAGAGCCAAAAAATGAGATAAGTAGCAGCTTTCATTGCCAAAACGATCAGAAGGGTTCAGACGGAGAGATTAGCTGAAACTATACCAGTTAGGTGCGGCATTTTTGTGCAGGGCATCCAAGGGGATGCAAGGTATTTCTCAATAGATATTCCCTCGCTGGGAGGGTCCAGAGGCATTTTCTCGTTGCATCTTCTGACACAGCATCTGGAGGGAGAGGATAAGATGAGATGAGAAAGAGTAAAGAAAAGGAAGGAAAGAGAAGAAAAAAAGGAGAAAGAGGGAGACATCCCTGTTGGTCTTGAGACGCCAGAGAAACTACCATATCCCATTGGAACTGCGCCAAAGTCATGCTAGAAGATTAGTCCAGTAATCGTGGTCTTTAGAGAGATGCAAGTAGCTGCAGCAAGTATGACAAAATTATCAGAGAGCCAGACAGGTGCCATTAAGCGTTGATCAGCAGCATGGTGTGTTCACGAATATTAAGACGTGCTTTCGCTGAGCATGAATAATAAACACTCACGGCGCCACATCACAAAATAACGCACAGGCACACGCACATTCAGCAATGTATGGGGATTGCTAAGCGTAGACTACATTGCACATCGATTGCATGATTCACAATCGCAAGAGTGCAACGTCGTTTTTTTGTATTGGATCCAAGTTATGATGATTATAAAGGCATCACAAAAGGCCCACCAGAGACAAAAACGATCCCGCTAATTGAAAGATCAGGGTACAAAATATGTAAGGGTGCTCCCTTGGTCATTCGGGGCGATTTCAGTCCGAAAGGAAATTATCTTCGAATAAGGTCGGTTTTTGGAGGAGGGGGTCGGAGTTAAGTGGCCGTCGCTTGTGGGCATGTGCACGGAACAGGGGATCCATTAATTCCAGATTGATTTCCAGTCAAGCCGCCAAATCAAACCGTATCCCACGGGGACGGTGAAATGGGGCCAATTTGACCTAGGAGAAGGCCTAATGTTTATTACATCGGGGCCCATTCCCGCAGTAAACGTAGCATAGGCGAGATCGCACAATCATTACGCCAATACTACTGTATGAATGTGAGCTTTACTGGAATTTGAGACGCATCGAAATTTCTTTGAATATCTGAAATTCTTGGAAAAATGAAGAAGATCACTTGGGTAAACAGTAAACCCAGCGCGTCTCTGTTGAACAGTCCTGAACTTGCCAGCACTCCAGTGGGAACAGACGAACTGTCTCCGGCGATATGCGAAGAAATATTTCTCCTGTTGAAGTACAATGCACCACGAATACTGAAAAAGAAAACCAACACCAATTCGCAATATTTCAATAATCTGCTAGGAACTGCTAAACACTTACAGATTCTTACCACGGTAGAAGGGTCCGTGCCAAGAAAAGGTCCTTTGATCAGAGCCTTACCACATCGATAGTACTGCTGCGATTCGAGCCACACAAATAAAGAATATCGAAGGCACTCCTCCAATGAAACCGTGTCTGCGCTATCGACTGATTTGACCTACGAAACTATCGATCGAAAGTTGACAACTGGGCAGAAAAAAATAAGTTTCAAAATTTGAATGAAACAAAGATAGAGCGCATTCCGACTTGGTAGGGGCATTTACTGGTTCTCATCCATCACTGCCGATGCTTTCTGTAGAGACCCACAAACGTCTGTGAAGCTATCCAGCAGTAGGGACTTTGTTTACACTTGACAAAAGTCTACAGGTTTGTCTTGGTCTACAGGTTTCGCCTCGGTAGAATAAGGCCCCTTCCAAGCCGAAGCGCACCTCTGAACGAATGAATCAATAAAAATCTCACCGTTACACACTGCTCTCGGAGCCACTGCTGAAACTTCACAGCTGAATTTGAAACAAAGTCGGCTCGTCCCACAACCATGATCTCCTTCAGATCTCGTCGAGGGGCTACCAGCGTTCCCGAGTCACCAAACTCAGACAAAAAGTCCCTGAATTGTTATTGACAAGACCTCGGAAAGTAGTTTCTGAAAACTCTAATGATTAATAGGAATGAAGCCAGCGTAAATCAGAACCCTCAATTCTGCAGTTCTTTCGATATGGAAGATTGAGCGGCGAGGAAACTATAGATATTGGTCTGGCGACATAGGAGAATGGGCGATTCGGCATTTTGGGCGACTCGGCGTTTCGAGCGACTGCTCGTCAAAGAAGTGGATGGGTATCGATCGGCGTTGGATCGCTCGTTTCCCGGTACGCTAGATCGCCGGGTCTCCCGAGTTACACTCGCATCATCTCCTCACTCGCAAGGTATGAATGCAGCCTTAATGACTTGTTACTGCAGATAGGTAGCAGCAAATAAATGCCAGAAAAAATTAAGGCAAAAAAATAAAAAAACCATCTGATTGTGGACCTATATCTGCTTCTCCTTAGAGTTCTGTTATTTCTGAATAATTGCTTTGCGGCATAAAAATGGGGAGAATGAAACTTTTAACTTGTCTTCGAGAAGTTTATTATCTTCGATTCCGTGCTCTTTAGATAAGGTTCTGTGATTTGTTATTGGCAAGTTACTTTGGCGTTAATTTGTTTCCACTCAGCTAATTTGCATGTACAATTAAATGAATAAAGCGAAGGAAGAAAAATTCCAAAAGTAAAGCATAGGGCAAGTTTTCGGACGAATTTTCGGAAGAATCAATCAATACCTATCATTACCTATCTAATAGTCCCTTTTCACTTCGGCGGGGACTATGAACCATGTCTGAACGCGCTCAGCACCACAACTACCACCCGTCTACAGAGGCTGTGAAAATAACTGACTGTTGTAGATGTCATGCGTTCTACATTGCTGAAGAGTTTGGAACAAAGTTAAGTGGTACGCGCGTCAGATCAATACACGATTCGAAGTACTCCTTCCGTGCGCGTAAAATCAATACGCATTCCGAACTATTTGCGACAATGCAACAACAATATTTTCACGAGCAAACTTGACTAGTACAGAGGGAAAACTACAATTTCCAGGAAGGAAACACCTGTATGAGTAGACTAACAGAAAGAATTGTTAATTCTACCTAACTGTCTGCTCCTTTTACCTGTTCCCGTACCTGCACATTTTTTGTTGTATACCATGTGGCGACGCTGATCTGCCATCAACACGTTGATTGATTTCCAAATGAAGAACTCGACAAGTGTCAAGATCCACGGAACAGAGTCTATACATGGTGGGTAGGGATGACAAGTACCTAAAACAACACACTTGTTAGGACACACACAACCTCTGCAACGGAAAACTATAA